CCTCTTGTTTCAACTAACATTAACACTTCAAAATAACCAGCACTGGATCCCATCAGACAGACAGGGCTGGATCCTGACGAGCGGAACTGGAGGCTGCGACTGAACTTGGTAGCTGTGTGAGGGTTCACTCTGCTGTTTGGCCACCTCTCCTTCAGATTATTTTTTCCACCAACTCGAGTCTTTTTGGAAGGTATTTCAATGCACCTTGTAAATCACCCCCCACCCCCCGCACCACACACACACACACACACCAAACAACCCCCTCCCCAATCACTGCACCGTCTTGTTTTAGGAACAGATGATAAATAAATCAGAGAGCACTAAGCGGTGTTTCCACACGGCTATTGCCTCTTTCATTCCTTCTGCAGCTCATCAATCAAACTATTGTCTGCCTTGAAAGCCAAGGCTTATAAATGTCATCTCCACTCAGGCCCAAGGAGACCAAAATCAAAATGCTGCGAGCAGTTTTAATTGGATAGTGTAATTAAACTAAAAAAACCCCGGCAGAGGCACTGTGACAAGACAGATCAGACCTTTTTAATAGGGCGAGGAAATGATTTGTTCAGGGGATGAGGCAATGCACTTCCCCTCTTCGCGATGGTCTGGTGTCTACACTGAGCTTTCTTACTGAAAACCACTTTGAGCTCTGGGAGAACCGAGAGCAAATGTTTAGGCTTTACAAAACTTTTTTCGTTAGAGAAAAAATATTTTTTGTGTTTTCAAAAGGAAGGAGGTCAGGGGGAAGGGGAGAAAGAGAGAAAGAGACAGACAGACAGAGAGAGAGAGACAGTGAGAGAGAAAGGCAAGAGAATAATCTGGTTTACAATTACAAGATTTAGCCCTTTGTTACTCATTAATATCCACAATGTGCAACCACTCCCCACCCCCCTGGGGGAGAAAGGCAGTGGTGAGGGCTGGACTCACTTTCTCGGGATGATCTTGCTGCTGTGTAACCAGCCACTGGGAGGCGGACAAGAGCCAAGTGCTGCCTTGCCCTCCAATTCCATCACAATATATCATTACACTAAAGTCCATCGCAGGAGTGGTTCTGCCCACAACGTCTGTCTGTCTTCTCTTGCCTTTCTCTCTCACTGTCTCTCTCTCTCTCTCTCTCTGTCTGTCTCTTTCTCTCTTTCTCCCCCTCCCCCCGGCCTCCTTCCTTTTGAAAACACAATAATTATTTTTTTCTAACAAAAAAAAGTTTTGTAAAGCCTAAACATTTGCTCAACCCATCCCAGCTCAACCCATCCCAGCTCAACCCATCCCAGCTCAACCCATCCCAGCTCAACCCAAGCCAGCTCAACCCAAGCCAGCTCAACCCAAGCCAGCTCAGCTCAACCCAGCTCAGCTCAACCCAGCTCAACCCAATCCAACCCAGCTCAACCCAACCTAACACAGCTCAACCCAATCCAGCTCATCTCAACCCAACCTAGCTCAGCTCGGCCTCGAGTGGGATGGAACTGGAGAGCTTCCAGCCCAGTGTGGCTCAGCTTCTGGCATACAGAGGGACTTTAGCAACACAATGACTGGCACAAGAGGAGCAGACAGATCCCTTACAGGAGGGTGATGAGGATGTTGAAATCTCTGCCATAAACTGTTATTGATGTTGAACTACCAAAAAACTATTTTAAAAGGAAAAGTAGATAGGTACGGTACTTGGGAGTAAAAAAAAAGAATGTGAAAAGGCTTGCAGAGCAAGCAGGCGAGTTGGCACTGGGGCTCATGTGTAGACACACAACCTGACACTGCAGGTAACCCGAAACACGACAGAGACAATCCTGAAAGTGGATCTCATAGTCTCATTGGATTTACCAGATTTTTACAAGGAAAATATGAAACTGTAGCACCTACTGATCCACCAATACTCGTTGCCTCCAACACTCAAACCACGTTAGCAATCTGCCACAAAGCTACCCCAACTCCACACAGCGGCAAGCAGACTCGCAAAACATGGTGCTTCTCGGCGCTACATGGGGTGTGATGGGGGCTGCTGCAGTGAGAGGTGGGGGAGGGGGTGTAAACGCCATCGTCACTGCAAACAGCACTTAGTGAACGTCCTGCTCGCAAACGATGCGCGGGTATTCAGTAAACAGTAAGTGAGCATTAAATGAGTTCAAATCACCTACTTTTCTTTATAAGTTTGCTTCCTGTGCCATCCATATAAAAGCACAAAACGAGACGTTCATTACGCTGAACTAAGTAAGCGTAGGAAAAGGGCAGGAGTGCAGCTCAGTACATTAGCATGTGTCAAGTCACTTTGGTTTTAAATGAAAACTACATAAAAGCATTTCTGCCATCAATTTTGCTCTCACTAACAGCCAGCGTGGGTGCGTGCAAATTCTGCAAGAAAAGCTATTTTCGGGGCAGATGTGAAATTCAATGAAAAAGACTTGACTTTCGTAGCGACATCAATCAAACCGTCGGCTATGGTGGCAGATCTCAACGGTGAGGGAGGGTGAAAGGCCACAGGTTAAAGAAAAAGGCAAGCTCTGGTTCAGCGCTAATATCTCTGCGGTGGAACTCTAGGAAAGGTGCACCTTCTTGTATTAGCCTACCATCATTAATCTTCTTGCCACCTTACTTTAGTTAGTCAAGCAGAACTGCTCAATAGTAAAGTATATGATGGGCAAGTAGGAGAACGAGCCCCGGTCGCTATTATCAGGTTAACATTCTGTTAAGCCCTTTCTGCAGCGATGGAATGCTCACTCTCGAGCACAGCGATCTGGGTCACATGGCACAGCGCGTGCAATTAACGAGGGCTGGTGGGATTTAACAGTTCAGAGCAGCGCTCACAAAAGGAGAAACCAAAACGTCTTGTTACATTTAATAGTGTGAAACGAAGCAATCTCTCATCCCCAAATCCAGGTTTGACACAGACATTACCATACGAACATTTCAAAAAAATGGTATTAACAGTAAAGGTTTATCCAGCCTCTGCATAAATCTGGCCAGGAGTGGGAGGGAGGAGGTGGGGAGGAAAAGAGGTTGTTGCTAATTGGGGAAAAAATTCTAGCACACACAAGCAACGTGTCTGCAAAGGTATTTAAAAGTGAGGCATTTTGAAAGGTGCATTTGAAACATCAGTGATTCTCAGCGAAGTGCATCAAACAAGCCAGGATTAAGTCTATTATGTTTCCAAGTTAAAAAAAAGCAAACAAACTGGAACAATAAACTACCAGGAGTACTTTATACAGAACAGAACAGAGGAGCCACACATGGGAATGCCTGCCTTTGTCAGGCACTGCTGTATTGTATTGTCACTAAACATCTGGAATCCTTTTTAAAAAAAACTAGCGAGTATGTAATTGTCTCATTGAATTTAACAGATTTTTAACAAGGAAAATATATAAACGATGGCACCTCACCTACAACCCACCAACACTCACTGCCCCTAACACCAACATTATACAGTGATATCTTACAATAATAACCTTTGCATTCGATACAGCACCTTATCATAGCTTTGAGACGTCTCAAAGCGCTTCACAGAATACAGTGTAAAGTGTATTGACTGTGTATTTTGTGGGCGAATTGGAGGAAGCAAAACGCTTTTTCTCAATTATATATGTTTCACGCACATGTTACTTAGGGTCAGGCCAGCATGTAAAGCAGAAATCATGACAAAACTTAAATCGCTTTAAAATATTTTAACCCAATAGCAATATTTGTTGGGGGTGTGTGTACGGGTTTATGTGTGTGGGTGGTTGGGGTGAGAGGATGTGTGTGGGTTGAGGGGGAGAATAAAAATCTTTGTTAAGTGATTACTACCAAGTGTTTGATTCGGTTCCAGTGATTGACCCAACGGGATACAGTGCTGAATACTGCAGCTTCACCTGGGTAACAAAGTTCCAGGTTAGCAAACACACCAACGTCTGGCACATGCACATCTGGGATTTCTCTTTTAGTCCAACAAGTCAGTAATCCTGTAACTCACACGGCACGCTCTGACATTTGCCTCCACAAATCTATCCATAATTTCAGACTGAAAGACCAGAGATGTTTTATTTCAGTCCCCGGCCCACTCGCAGGCAGCAAATGCAACTGGCAACTCCGCCAACTCCTGTACGTCAGTGACATGGCTTGGCCAGGAGGAGCCGCTAAGAACCTGTCAGGTTAAATGGGGAGGAGGCAGCTCTCGGGAATCAAGGGTGTTAATGCACTGCACTCCTCAAAATTCATCCGATGAATTCCAGAGCCACTGCTTCCAGATATAGGTCCAGTTAATTTGTGGCATTTCATGCTTTGTTTACATTTTACCCTTCCTCTTTGTGCTCCCAATCCGCTGGAGCGTCAAAAATAGAGCACCCACTTTTTTTGTGGTCATTTTGTCCCCTTCCCTTAAAGTTCATCACTCTAACACTCCATTCGACAAAGCACAATCGATATTGAAACGCCATGAAAAAGTACATCCCACCAGGACTGGATCTGCTTTGCAGCGTGAGGAAAAGAATTAAAATGAAAACAAAGGGAATAAAGTACAAACAGAGCCTGTGGAGTTGAATCGCAAGGCAATGCAGACAGACAGCAAATCATCCAGAGATCAGCCACCGAATGGATAGCTCTATAAAACACTTTTTTGGGAGGGGGGAGGGGGGGGGGAGGAGATAAAAATCGTGACAAACTTCTGAACGCTGTTTCAATACCAATAGCTCGCTCACACGGCAGTGGGAAGATGATATTAAATTCACCTGGACTTCGACGAGGTTTATCACGGGCAACGCTCTGATGGATTAACAGGGCGCCGTTGCACAGAGTGCGATACAAGCCACGTGCAACCTTTAGACAGCTGAACCTCTGAAAATTGATTTCAGTAATAGAACACAGATACGCAGGCGACAATCTGAAGGATTAAAAAAAATGTATCACAGGCACCACTGTCTTATCTAATATTAAACCTGTGGACAATACGCAACTGTAATTTTTCTATTTGAGTGCATGCACTCACTCACACACACACAACCGCACAGAGATAGAGTGTATAAATGCAGGAGGCTACATACTTGGACTCTTCTCTTCCACAAGGTCACAAGCGCAGAGTAGATCAGAATCAATTGAAATGGGTTTCTGTTTAATCCAGAATTTGGTGCTGGCCTTCTGATTAGTAACGGGGTCTATCTCCACCTTCTCTCCTGAGACACCTGTGAGAATCAGTGGGGATATAAACCAGTGGCCTGTGTAAGTGATTTTATATCAAGCATTTGACACACTTTATAAATCTTAATGGAATGAACACATAAACTGCTCTCTTAAGCCTTCCAATACCAAGAGTTTTTTTCTGAAGCGTATCAAGTCAACACTGAACACAGCAATACGTACAGCACTGCTTGACCACTGAATAAAAATGATAAAGCAGTGTGTGAAATCACCCTTGCTGTCAAAAAGGCAATAATGGCAAAGAACACCATGTAGGAAGCCCCAGACTTGCTTTATTTAGCAACGAGCTAAACAAAGGCTGTTGCTGAATCCCTACCCCCACCACCACCGGTTAGTACGGGGGGGACAGCAAGACCAGAGGTTCTACGGTTTTGCCATCACCGTCTCTGGACTATAAAACTCTGTAAAGCGAACAGATTTTGACTGTATTGTGGCACAATCCCAATGAGGTATTTACAGATACTCTTGTAATATTGTGCTATAAAGGCCAAAATTGATTGCAGTGATATACATGGCATTCTCACACACACACACAGTCACATGCACACACACTCACACTCTCACTCACACTCAGCATCAGCCGTGCGTTAGAGAGCCATAACAAATCGACAGCTTTAGACGGTGTAGTCTGAAACGGCAGTTCTGCTCCAGCCTCCACACACGGGGATGTCCTCTGATTGATTCGGGACTTACCAGTTTTGTGTTCTGTCAAAAAAAAAGCCTTGTTGAAACTGCTGTGGTGGGGAGCCTAGTGAAGGGGCTTAATGATGTGTGCTAACCCACTGGACTGGCTGAGATTTGTCGGCCCTGGAGCATGGCAGGGAGGAAACAGATTTCACGTTTGAAACGGTAAAGACGCCTTTACACACGGCCAATAATTTTGGTACCAAAGGTTCCATTTAGAATTTGATTACAGTGTGTTTTAGAATCTTGCTCATTAGAAAAATAAATGCTGGCACTTTATGTAGCACATCAGGAGGACGTCTCAAGGAGCTTCTCAAGTTTTACTGTAAAGTGTAGTGACTGGTGTGTTTTTGTAGGCAAACCCTACAGACAATTTGCTGTCAGCAATGGCATGCAAACAGCCATGAAGTGAGTGACCAATTTTATTTGGGGGATTGTTGGCCAGGATCTGGGGAGAGAGAAACTCTCTTCTCTTTACAAGTCGTGCCACAGGATCTTTAATGTCCACCTTAACAGGCAGATGGGACCTCAGTTTAACGTTCATCTGAAGGACAATATAGCACTCACCCCCCCCCCCCCGCCCCACGACACTGTGCTGGAGAGTCAGCCTACTTTTTGAGGGCTCACCCTGCTCTTCATTGTAAACTTGAAATCAGAAAGCAAGTTCACAATCATTGCAGCTGCATTAATTATGAATAAGAGAGACACTGAATAAAATGTTTTGCAACACTCCAGTGGATTTTAACGGGAGTAATTAGTTTCCATAACTCCAAACGTGCGATGTGATCGATCACCTATCACGGATATTTCTGCTCCTGTGATCGGCTGCCTGGCGGCTTGCTTTTCCCCAAAACATTCAGTTGACAGCGAACTTCCAATGTACAGGAATTTTAATAGACATTTAGTCGCACACACACAAAAAATCATGACAGTAGTTTGGTGATTCGTCAATGAATTGAGTTATATTTGGGGCTAAGATGGAGCAGGAATAATAATAATAACAATCCTTGCATTTGATATAGCGCCGTTGTCAAGATGTCACAAAGAGCTTCACAGAATATACTCTAAAGTGAATAAGCCATCTTCCACGCCACGGGTGGGGGGGGGGGATTGGGAGAGGAGTTTACTTAATTTATTTAATTACGTAACAAGGTGAAAAACTTGTTACAATTAAAAAAGAAAATGAAGTTTACCCTTAACAAAAGAAGCAGCGAGGGAAAAACTATGAATATAGATTTAAAGACTGTTGAAGGTTTCGCTTTATTTAAAAAAAATGTAGAAAGGTTTCTGAGATCTCTCAAAAACAATGAAAGCCCACACAGCTGTCAGAACAACAATAATGACTAAAAGCCATTCTGTTAACAAAAAACATTTTGGATATCTTGGGAGACAAGTTACTGAAATTATTAAAAAGGAAAATTAAAACAAGTTGTTAAACCTGTAGCAGTGATCCCCAAAACACCCCCAAAAAACATTTGATCCTAAAATACGAAAGAGATAAAACTCCCTCTTGTGTAAAATTCAATCTCTGCGGTCCGACAGATACAGAAACCACAGAAGCAGTCAATATTGTTAATGTACCTTGTTAATTTGATGGGATTTGTCAGGTAACTCCACTGGAAAATTATATAAAACTGTTCCAGATGAACAGATGATAGTGACATGAATTAAACTGATAGAACAATACCAGAATATAAACCAGAAATGACACCTAAAGTGGCTGTTGATTTATTGCCATCCTGAGTTTGGTTCTGGGCTTCCATGTATATTAGTGCTACAAATCTGGGTCCATTTAGCAGTGAGATGCTCGTACATACATCACCAAGCTCCTGCTCCAAGCCAAGGTCATTCCCCGTTGCATCAATCTTTTCAGCAAAGGCATCTCACCATTCTACCAGTTTTTTTTACCCATTTAAGGTTTAAAATTTCTTCTTGGAGATTAAACAAAAAGACAAGCAAAGTTGGATGCTAAGCAGCCACTCGCTCGCCTGCCCCACAATTGGTCATTAATTTGCAGCGCATTCTCCCTGATCACTTGGGCGCACAAAAAAAAGCTCTCACCTGTTAAACGCTGTGGCTTTTACTAGGTTGATTATTTTCAGTAAAAAAAATCTATACAAACAGGAGAGTCTTTCAAGTACAGAAAGGAAACGGCAGTTTCCAAATGGTGACAAATTAAGCTTCAGTGAAACAAAAGGGTTTTTATACTGCATCAGCACAAGTAACATTCCCCAAATAACACAGCAGGTAACCAGAGGGCTGGCCAAGTGTATTATTGTGTTATGTACACTGTTTAATTTGGAATTCAATTTGGAATTACAGCAACAAATGACATTTACACAGCGCTTTTCATGTCGGGAGAACGTCCCAAGGTGCTGGGGAGTTAGGGATTTGGACCCAAGCTGGGGGTTGGGATCAAGAGGGGTGGAGAGCAGGGAGAGTGGGGGTAAGAGGGTGAATGAAGGCACGGTCAAAGAGGAGGATCTTGATACGTGCCTTGAAGGGACTGTGCCATAGAGGGTAGGGGCAGAGAGGCTGAAGGCCTGACTGCCAATGGTGGTGTGTGTCGGGCAGGGGGACGTGGAGCCAGCTGAGTGGAGGGAGTGGTGGGTCAATATATGGCCTCAGTGCAGTACAGAGGAGGCCTCTTGTTTTATATATAAAGAGAGAAGGGAGCTTCTCTCTTCTGGTGTCATGATCGGTAAACGATAATGAACAGTAAGATTGGTCACTCACTTCAAACTGGCTGTTTGTGGAGACATTTGGGCTCTGTGTGTTTGCCTACCAAATACAGTCACTATATTTTACAGTAAAATCCTATGAAGCATTTTGAGACGTATCGATGACGTGCTAAGGCGCAGTATCAAACGGGAGGATTATCATGTGGGCGGCCGAGAGGAAACGATGGCTCCAGGAACAGAAACCCAACACACGCAGACTGTAAACACACAAACCCCAATCAGGATGTCAGTTGCAACAAGCTGAGGAGCTTGACTCTGCTCACTATCTCTGCCGCTTGACATAAGTAAAGCCTCTTTGCTTCCAGTTGTCTAACATGCCATAAATTAAGCATCAGGGATTGGGACTGGCCTGCTTGCCTATGCTCCAAGTCTCAACTTTGGCCTGGGAACAGGGAGCAGGACTTGGCCTGTGAACTGGGAGATGGTTTATACTGTTTGCCCCCAAGAAGTAAAGAGAATCTGGCTACACTCTGGGCTGGCGTTTACCTCAAATCTTCCAGATAACAAGCTACCAGCAAGGGTAGGAGAGGCCAGGAGACTGGGACTCATTTAACAAACAGTTTGATGGTGTAATAGGAAAACCTTAGGGCGGACGGACAGATCGAATGAGCCGAAGGGGCCTCGTTCATCTGGACCACTCGTGTGATAAGTTTTTTAAAAAAAATATATATATACATAACTAGCAGGGTTAGGGTTAGGGTAAGGGAGCAGGGCAAAGTCTTTACATGTCAGCCCCAATCTTGTAACTGTTAGCCACACATGTCAGCAAGTTAAAAACGGACTGAAAGCAAAATGATTTCCGAGAAAGATTTGACTGAGAAAAATGACTTTGGGGAGAGTGTGGCTGTGTGGAGGGCAAAGCCCAAGTGTAAGGAAGGTTCTGAAGAGGTCGGGAACATTACGGTACGTATCCTGTGCTTCACCTTAAGTAACTCTTAAAGGGCAGGTTTACATGGAACCGAGTGACAGGCAATACCTTGCATACAGCAGATGGAATTAAAATGTGACTAAAACATTTATAAGCACTCTGAAAGGTGCATTAACCCCTGAAAGCTGCACTCACAGGTCAGTGCCATCAGTACTGAGCAGGCTGCGCCATTCGTTTCCTTAACAGCTCCCCCTTCCCTTATATCATTTATCTTTACTGATAAGGGATGACCTTTTCAAGCTTTTTATTCTGACGGCTTCCAGATGCACGGAGACAAAAATCCTTCCTGGAAGCCAACCCACAGCAGCAAACCGTCCAGAAACAAAGTGGAGGCTTTGCTAAACGTTCCTTACGTATAGAGAGCGCTCCCTTCCCTTCTTCCCTCCCTCTCTTCCCCTTCACTGTGACCTGTCGTAAACCCAGAGGAACCCTTGCAAAATGGGACAATCTCCATTGGGATGATACTCAGAGAATAAGGTTGGCGCTGGGGGATCGAGCGCTCGTAAGTCAGGCTTTCCTGGTGTGAATGTAAACCTGATGACATTTCACTCTGCCCTCTGCAAAGTCCCCTGCTAGCTACACGTGCACTGCATGAAATTTACTTAACTTTACAAAGGATCCTCACAGTTACAGCAGAGCAAATATAAACTCTAACCAAGAAATGTAACCCACACACACATTTTTCTCCTTAAATATCACCGGACATTCCTCCCAGTGACACCGAGTGTCAGGTGAAAGTTCACATTTTCGCACGCCGCAGGGGTCTGGCATTGTCTAGGCAGCTGAAGAATTGCGCCATGAAATGATTAATGATAAAAATAATACTAATAATCCTTGCATTTGATATCGCACCTTATCAGGTCTTCGAGACGTCTCAAAGTGCTTCACAGGATATATTGCAAAGTGTAGTGACTGTGTACTGTGTGGGTGAAACTGCCACGATTGTGTAAGCGATCTCAGCCTGTACCCCCACTTCCCCCCACGACCCAACCCACTGCTTCCAGATAATACGCTCCATGTCTCTCTGTAAAAGAAACACAGGCGACACCTGGATTCACTCCCTCTCTGACCCCACCTCCGGCATCTGGCAAATGTTATAAATGCAATCGATTTATTTTCGCCGAAAAACTGGCACCCACAAAAAAAAAGGCGAAATTTAGCCCCAAACTCAAGCTGTTTACGTACATTTATTTAATAGACGAAGGCTGCCAGGACTTGTGCATCTGTCAAATGAAATCCCTTCAAAATGTGCATGTCAGAATTAAGTGCAGGATGACAGCATAGTTTTACATCAACCGACGCAGTTGAAAGTGTCAACAGCAAAAAAAAAGGGATTAAAATCTCAAAATGTTTTATTCCATCTGGCAACAACATTTGATGCAGAGGAGATAGGTTCAGTCGTGGCTTCATTTGTGCCATAACTTTACCCTAGGGAGGAAGCTATTTTAAATTAGCTTGGGGAGGAAACTCAGATTTTTTTATTGTTTTTCGCCAAACACTGGCCTGAACCTTTATTAGCCGAAATCAGGTTTAGGAAAATGTGAGGGGTGGTGGGTGGGTAAAGAGAGAGAGGGTCTGGGGTGGATGTTGGTTACAGTCACCTTCCGCCTCCCCCTGTTCGGTGTCAAGCGCTCTGGGATACAACCCTGCGTGTGGGGCGCTATATAAATGAAAGTTGTTGTTGTTGTTGTATCGTGGCACCCTTCCCACCAGCACTCAATGACATGTGTCATGACGTGGCATGACTGAATGACACGACGACACCCCAGTGTCTGAAAAAGCTCTCTGAAATGGAAGTGAGATAACTGAAGGACGTGATTTGGGTTTGATTTTCTTTGACGGTTATGTCCAACTCCTACAACGCAAGACCAACCGTCAGCCGAACTTTGCAAAGTGGGGAAGAAAAAAAAATGTAAATGAAGCTCGTAATTGCACCGTTCAGTCGCTTTTCAAGACATCAGATTCTCTCAGTAATGTGCTAGTTACCGTCCAAAACCTTATGGCGCTGTTTCCTCCGCAATCCGAACAATCAGCTAATTTTACAATTAATGTAATTAACGTCGACAATATTATCATACCATTACAGGATTGTACAATGTGGATGGGAAGAAGCCTGAAGGGAACAAAAGGTTAATTAATTTTAAGTGAAAATGGTAAAACAAAAAGAACCTTCTCTCCTCTCCCCCCCTCCCCCCACCAATGGTCTGACAGTATTGACGTGGTGTATCCCAGTGAAACAAACCATTTACCTAATTGGACATCAGTGGTGAAGCGCAGCTTGTGAACGATGCTGACTTTGTAGGATTTGTAACGATGGCTGCTCAGGATGTCCTGCACTGTTGTCATGTCCAAAGGAGGCTCTTCCTCAGAGCTCTCCTCCCCTCGCGAGCCTGGGGGGGGAGTGGAGTGGAGAGAAGAGGGGGTGTGGGGGGGAGGGGGCGAAAGAGGAACACAGTTGAAAAAAAACATTCGACATATCATGGCATGTCAGAAAATAATTTTAGAATCATAGAATTTTATAGCACTGAAGGAGGCTATTCGGCCCATCGTGCCTGTACCAGCTCTTTGAAAGAGCTACCAACTAGTCCCACTCCCCCGCTTTTATTCTGTAGCCCTGCACATTCTTCCATTTTAAGCAGCTGTCTAATACCCTGTTAAAAACTGCTATTGAATTTGCTTACACCCCCCTTTCAGGCAGTGCGTTCCAGACCATAGCAACTCTCTGTGTAAAAGACATGCCACCGGCTCTCAGTTCAGGGGTGTGAAAGTTGTAGATTGTGTAGCTTTGTGGACAATTCCCCAATTCAGTCTGGACGCTGGTTTTCTGCAGTTCCAAATTATAACTGAATTTGAGATTTTTTCCCCCACAATTCTGTGCCAATTCTTAAGCTGTAAGACTAAATAAATGATGTTTACAGGGCCTACAGCAACTTGCATTTTTATAGTGTCCTTACTAGAGTCCCAGAGGCTGAGTGAGTGAGACATAGAAACAGGAGTAGGCTATTCAGCCCCTCGAGCCTGTTCCGCCATTTTATAAGATCATGGCTGATCTGTACCTCAAATCCAGTATTAATGGAACACAAATCTGTCCTCCACCCAGGAACTCCCCTCTCGGAACAATGACTACATTTGTAATGTTATGAAAAGTATGCACACAACACCACCAACCAAAAAAGGCAATAAAATAGCAACTTGCCAAACCAATTTAGCGGCTTACCAAACCCAAACAGGCACCAACCACAGGGAAGAAAATCAAAGAAACAGTCGCCAAGACTAACAAAACCGGAGACGAGCTGCAGAGCAAAACTTTTCCGAGTCCGTATTTGTGGAAGGTTCTGACGGCGGGAAGGAGATTTCCATCTCAATTCTATACTCAGTCATTTTGCCCCACATTATTCTACCCTTTATGTTTTTAAACTTTCCTTTTAAAAAAAATAAATCCACTTCTTTGCGTGGCAATAATAATAATAAACAAAGTTGCTGAGGAATCCTTTGTGAAAATCTACACACCAGGGCGCGAACTTTTCACTCAAAACCTGACTTTTTTCCTCTCAAATTCAGTCAGAATTTGGAAGACTTTTTTTTAAAACCCCATGTTTCCTGGCCAGCAAGGGGGCGGTGGTGGTTGGGGGAGCTGCTATGAAATTCTCTCCGTTGCTCTCTGGGAATTTATATATTTTGTTATATTTGAGTTCCCAAGGTCTGGATTCAAGCAATTTTTCATGGTGGAGAGGAATCGAACATTTACCAAACACAGGGTCAGGCAAAGAGCCCAAAACATTAACAATCGGGGCTGCATTTCCAATGGGAAAACCACACTCCGGAAATAAGAGACGACCTTCATACCAATTAAATCAGTGCTTCTCAACCCTTCACCACTTATCTGCATGTTAAACCTTCATCAATTGTAATATCACTAATTTATTAAACCCATAAATCAGGACATCATTGAGGAGTTTATTGATGAGTTTATTGATGAATCGCCAATGGGACAGGACGTAATTTTAAGACCTTCAAACAGGGAAGAGAAGTCTTTCCCAAGCAGCCGTGTGCCCCCCAAGTGAGGAGAACGTAACCGGGTATCTTCAGCCCACGGCCAGCAGCTGTGGGTAATGCCATACCATCGGGTGCTCTGCTCATAATGCTTATTAATATGAAAACTACACAACCAGAAAGATTTAGAGGCACAAAATTAGCTTCCAGAGGTAGGGGTGTGGACCTCCTTTCATGGCGAAAGGCCAGGCCTTTTGATAGTGAAGTCTATAGCCTGACAATCCTGACATTATTATTATTATTAATATTATGGAAGCAGCCATCTACTTCTAGAGGGGAGTTTCTGCAAGTCAGCCTGACCCAAACCTGGTTAGTCTCATTGTTTCCTGAAAGAGGTGTTTCAATGGCTCTCCCTGCACAAGCCTGAGCCTGAGCTCTGCATATTATATGGTAAACCGTTCAAAGTCAAAAGTTTTCTGAGTGACAAAGAAACACATTTACGAGACACACACACACACACACAGAAATGGAATTCCCATTGTCTGGATTAAATATATACTGTATTTTTATATATATACTCTATGCAAACATAATCAATGGAGACGTCTCAAAGTCGTGATAAGGTGCTACATCAAATGCAAGGATTACTTATTGTTTTTTTTATTTTCCCTAGAAACTGAACTGGTGAATAAGGCTGGAGAGAAAGGGAGAGAAAGGAGGGCGATGAAACAAAACATTGATGCAATATGTAAAGTACAAGCAGGGACCTAGAGTCAGCAGTCCCCTGTAAGATTAATGCTGGTAAATACAGGTGCCCTGTAATGCTATCGATTCCTCAATAGTGGGATAGTAATAGCGTTTCCAACGGGACTGGAGTGCAGGCTGCGTTTATCACACAGAATCTTCCTCTGATGGTTTGGCAATCAAGGGTAGTGCATGCAACCATCAGCCATCTTCTCAAATACACACTGGGGATTTGCAGGAGTCACATTTTTCTGCAATTGTTATTAGTGGAAGATTGCCAACATGTCTCGAAGGGACCTAAAGACTCAATCAATGGCTTCAGCAAACAGCATCGCAAAATGATACCACCTACATTTTAGCATCAGGAATGTACTTAACAATTAGTGGCGAGTACATAATAGCATTGAATGCTTTATTTTCATTTTATTTCCCAATTTCTTAAGTGGTAATAATAATAACTACTTGCATTTACCTTTCACGTAAAAAGAATAAAACGTCTCGAAGCACTTTATGACAATGTGTAACCGATTAGAATGGATGCTATACACGGTTACAAAGAGTGTAAAGAAAACTATAAGGAGTAAAACTATGGAGGAAAAAGGTCCACGGATCAACCTTTGTGGTTTTGGATTTATTTGCACCAAACCTCAAGTGTAAATAATAATAATAATCCTTGCATTTGATATAGCGCCTTATCCCATCATCGAGAAGTCTCAAAGCGCTTCACGGAATATACTGGAATATACTGTAAAATGAATCGACTGAATATTTTGTGGGCGAAACGCGGCAGCCAACAGTGCACAGCAGCGTCCCACAAACAGTCGTGGATTGAAGTGACCAATTTATTATTTTTTTTTGAAGGAATTTATAACCTCCGGAAAAGTGATCGGCCAATTACTAACAATCGGGTTCCTGCTAGGTAAACAGCGATGTGTGGAGTAAGGAAACTTGCCCAACATTTTCCCCTGCCGGGAATTAATGCCATCTTGCGAGTCAAGTGCTCTAACCACTGAGCTACAGGACTCCACATCGAGTATGAAAACTGCCTCTTACACCGGAGGCAGCCCAGGCCATCACCAGGGACAATTGGGAGCCCAGGTTCAATCTCAGAGATCTCGCCTTTCTCAGAGGTCATTTATAAAGGCGTCTGTCTCCCCTGGGCGAGTCTCCTCTTGTTCCGTACTCAAAGCAATTGAGGTTCATGTCTCACTCACTGCTTAATGGCTGTTTTAGACAAAAATGCTTTGATCAATCGCAAAAGCAAGGGACTCTGGAGCAAGTTCTAACAGGACCACTTAATAATAATAATCCTTGCATTTGATTTAGCGCCTTATCACGTCTTTGAGACTTTCAAAGCGCTTCACAGGATATACTGTAAAGTGAATTGACTGTATATTTTGTAGGTGAAATGCGCATAGCAGTATTCCACAAACAGTCATGGATTGAGCGATTATTTTTTAAAGGAATTATTACCCCTGGAAAAGTGATCCGCCAATCAACAAACAACCGGGTTCCTACTTCCTGCTTGGTAAACAGAGATAATCCTAAATAATAACCCTTGCATTTGATATAGCGCTTTTCACGTCGGGAGGATGTCCCAAAGCGCTTCACAGAACACACTGTAATGTGAATTGACTGTATATTTGTGGGCGAACGCGGCAGACAATTGCGCACAGCAATGTCCCACAAACAGTCGTAGATTGAAAAAGGCCAATTTATTGTTGTTTTTGGTTTTGGAGGGATTATTATTAGGCTCTGTGTGGAGTAAGGAAACTTGCCCAAGGTTTCGCCCTCTGCCTGGAATTGAACTCAGGTCTCTCACTTGCAAAGCGATTGCTCTAACCACTGAGCTACAGGACTCCACACAGATGTGTGGAGTAAGGAAACTTGCCCAACGTTTCGCCCCGCCGGCAATCCAACCTAGGTCTCTCGCTTGCGAGGTGAGTTCTCTAACTACTGAGCTACAGGACTCCACTGCTTGCTTTGTTAGTACAATATTCCTGAGAACCCACTGCCAAGACGACCAGCAGCAACTTAACCCAACATTATTTGGGTCTTTGTCACTTAAAGGGGAGACATTCCATTCTATGGCCTGTTCAAGAATGATTACAGTTGGGGAGGCCAAGTTTGCAGGGCTATGGGGAGAGAGCGGGGGAGTGGGATTGATTTGGAAGCTCTTTTAAAAGACCGGCACAGACACGATGGGCCGAATGGCCTCCTTCTGTGCTGTACAATTCTATGATTCTGCAGCTACGCAAGATTGACAGGACACAGGTAAAAGCCCTAGTCAGGATTGGGATCAGGTCCCAGTCACACACCGTGTGTCAGGACAATGGTTAATGGATGGACTCCAGACGCAGTGGCAGCCTATTCATACACAGTATTTGTGAATGCCAAATGAATGAGGAAGAATAAAACAGGGCCATTCATGTGCTATTAGTCAGAAATTTATAGAATCGAGCAGGACAATTTTTGGCAATATTTCCACAGTGTCTAACTAACCCCTTTTTGCAGCCACATCTTCAGCAGCGACTCTGCCACGTAATAGTGGACAGTCCTGTAGTGTAGTGGTTAGAGCCCTCGCCTCGCAAGCGAGAGGAGCCGGGTTCGATTCCCGGGAAGTGCGAAGCCTTAGGCAAGTTTCCTTACTCCACACACACACACACACACACGCACGCCTCTGTTTACCTCACAGTAAGTAGGAACCTGCTTGTTAGTCAATTGCCAGGTTGCATTCCGGGTTAATAATCACTAAAAAAAAAAGTCACCGAATCAACGATTGTTTGTGGGACGCTGCTACGCGCAATTGGCTGCCACATTACGCCCACAAAACATACAGTCAATCGACTTATATTCTGTGAAGCGCTTTGAGATGCCTCAATAAAATGATAAGGTGATATTTCAAGTGCAAGGATTATTAATTATTATTATGTCACACGTTGCCCCTGAAAGCCGTGCACTGACTCCTGTACTGGCCCCTCATGCTGTGACCTGCCCTGCGGGGAGAGGGGAAATGTCTCCCTACAGAGAACTGAAGTAGCAACGAGGAAATTAGGCCAATAAACACAGCGATCGTCTCCAGCAACTGTGTAAATGGGGCAGGTTCCTGGAACCCGCTGCCTCAGGGCACTTCAGAACTACTTCAAGAGAATACTGTAAAATAACTGTGGCATTCGGGCGTACAGTAAGATTCATTGACAGCGAATTTTAATCTAATACAGAGTGAAAGAGAGAGAGAGAGATGCTTATTATCTCAGTTAAGATCAGCTATTCATGAACACATTTCCTAGACTGAGACAACTGCTTTTTAAATGATTAACCCACACAGATCACTTTCCTGTGAATGACCAAACCAGTTTGATCTTACACTTTGATGTATTCTGTCACTTCTATTTAACATCTCGCGGAGAAAAATCACCATAACATTCTCAATATTTTTAAAAAAGAACACGTTACTTTTCTCTGTAGGATAAGCAAGCGTGTTTCACTTAAACACTCGCAGAGTATGTATAAATCACTCGACACATTTCAATGCCAACACATCACTGATAGGAACACTGCAGGCTGCAGCGATGTGTATCTGAGCTTTGCTATTTTCAGTCTGAATTTAAAGAAGTGACGTATTTAGGCCCCGGCTTTCGGTGCAACACACAGCATTTCTTTACTGCCTCTGAAAAACTCCCTGACAAGGTCTGGCCTGGCGCATTTCTGTATGTTACCATCTTCTGAGCTTCCACCAAGGCTCTGGTCTTGGCTGCCCAGTTTGCTCTTAATTTGCTGCCGTTATTGGTTTATCTTTTAGACTCTTTTTCAATCATTCTGCAGCTTCCGGTGGTATTTACATGCACACACGGCCGGTGACGGAAACATGCGATCAGACTGTGCCACTTCAAAGTCATTTCTACATGTTTGCATGACCGTCTATAATCATATACACTAGATGCTTCTCCGAGTCCTTTTCGTTGATACTCAAGCTACAACTGGTCTGTAATCAAACTCCAATTTTACAATAATTATGGATAATAAAATCTATGTTATGAATAAGCCCAAATCACCATTAATACAGAATTAATTGGATTGAAAATAATTATAGCTTAGACCTGAGCAAACTGCAGTGCAGGGCAGGGCTGGGGGAGTTTGTATTGTCAGGTGTGACATTAACCAAAGGGCCACATTAACCTGTTAACCTGACCACAAACCTCCAGATTCACTTGCCCTTCACCTCGTAGCTGTTTGTGGGATTGAACGGCTGCCGACAAAAACTGCACTTGAGAAGGTTTCACAATGATAAGAAACTATAAAAATGCAAGCTCTTATTTATTAACGCTGAATAATTACCAGCCCAGAGAACGTGCCAACAAAAAAAACTGTCAATATCAAGTGTGGCAGCGTCAACTAATGCAAGTGATATTGTGTGGATAACGAGTAATGTTCAGCACAGGGTTAGTGTGACATTTTGACAAGATAAAAATAATCAGTGTAGGTCATCAGAATAACACACTCGCATTGCAATAAAGTAAAATATCAGAGTTCATGTGAAACAAATTCAGACACTCGCTGGAGTTGGGAAGAGAAAACCATATTATTTGCAATACTAAGGTTGTGGGGGTTCCTGTATTTAGCTTACACACACACACACGCACACACAACATAAACCATATAGATACAATGACCTAACAATTCTATAGTTACTACACATGGAAAGTTATTTCCGTGTCCTTTCGTGTCACCGTGTTGATATCCAGCCTAATGGCACCATCTCCTACCCTTATTGATTTATTCCCAGATCCCAACCTCTGCTGTCACCCTTCCTTCTAACATCCAAAGGTGTTTCAAAACCCAAGGGTGGCACTGCTTAATCAACACATCTTGTCCTCCCTCATAATTTTTCCACCTTGGCTACTGTCCTGCGCTATATAGACCTTGGACTTTCACCAAAGTTTCTCAATTGGAACAGATTAAATGAAATTGATCTTTCAAGGCCCGTCTCAAGACCCTCCTCTTCGACTGCGCATTTGGCCGCCCTCCTACCCCCCCTGCCCTCCACCCTTCCTGATCCCAAACCCCCCGCTCGGATCCAAATTCGTCTGTCCAGCACCTTGGGACGTCCTCCTGACATGAAAGTTCGCTATACAAATATAACTTTGTATTGTATGAATTGGGACAGTGAACGGTGCTGTTCTTCGGGTGACAGGAATTCATTCGAAAACAACTCAACAAATGCACGTTAGATGATCGATCGCTTTTCCGGAAATACGTTGTTGTTCGAAAACTTCTCGAGTCATAAAAGTGACGAGTCACCCTCTCTAAAACCACTTAAAAAGAAATGCGATCAACATCTTAATTGTTTTCCACGGTTCATTTTTAGGTTGTAATTTGTTTTTTATTGCTTAAAAATTCATTGGTGGAATTGATGAGTGGTGGGGGGGGGAGGGGGGAAGAGGTTATCACTGATCTCAGCATTGTGCAATGGAAATGCAGCAGATATGATCCTAACTTAGATATTTAAAGCGTAGATATTCATTCAGCTCGCTCACACTGCTGGACTCAGCAATTCCCGCTAATAAGCTGCTCAGACCAGATTAAAAAAAGGGTTTGTGGTTGAGAGCAAAGTAACAAATGACAGTCAAATTTAACACCAATTCTTTGTAACAGTTGGAGTTCTTTTTAAAGAGATGCTCGGGCCGAGCGAGATTCCTGGTTCAAATTTTTTTTTCTTTTTTTTCACCCCAAATGAGGGAGGTGAAAGAATGTGAAATGTTTGCTGAGCTGAGCGCCATGGATAATTGTCTGAAGGAGAGAAAAAAAAACTTGCTGATGCATATATTGCCCGTCATGCTTTTCTAACTTGCAGATCATACTTTAAAGCAAAGTTATTCAGATCGTCAGTTGCGAATGCAAGCACACTCCACAATGGTAACCATGAGATTTCTGATTCCAGCAATCCACAGTTAACAAGCCTTAGACAAGTCACTTAAGCACTGAATTTGCTGATATCACATTTGTACCTGACACAGAGTGTGAAACGGAACAGATAAGGAATGCAGAGTCAGTTTCTGCCAAGATTTTCTCCCCCAAAATTTTCAATTTGTGTATCGCAATGTCAAGAAATGTGCTCTTCTTTGTCAATCACAGTGGATGGAAAGAGCAGTCACTTCATGTTTCACAGTGAAGTGAGTTATCAAAGCCGTCTGTCTCTACATCACGTGTCGGGCACTGCGCATAATAATTAGCCACAGAAATGCTAATTTACATTATGTTAATAGCCTTAAACCTTCGTATTCTCTTATTAAAAATAGGAAATTACTCAAAACGTGTACATTTCTATTCAGTGGTTTGGCTGACAGGTAATTTATGTAAAAAGTTGAAAGGTTAAAACTTACTGTACTCTCTGACCAGACAGAATTCCAAAGTGCTCTGACTCTCTAAGGTACGGTCTAAATCTACAGCTACGTTAGGTTCACTTTGCTTCTCAAGCCGATACTGATGCCCTGAAATGAGAAAGAATAAGGCTGGGAAATAATGTACATGAGAAACTTTCATCCTAACTGCGCGGAAACTTCAGTCAAAACATTTTTTAAAAAAAAATCAACCCTTGGATTCTGACCACCCCATCCCCACACTGCGCAACAACCTGCAATTGTGTAGCTTGATGTGGGACGAACATCTCGATGGACTTCACAAGTGTGACGGGTGAGCAAAGAGGGAGCAGTGTAAGCGAGTGTTGACCAGTGTAAGCTGGTTGAGGAGAAAGACTTTTCATAATCCTGGCAAGACTTTTAAGAATGTTTTGAAGATAACAACAACAATAATAATCCTTGCATTTGATATAGCGCCTTATCACATCTTCGAGACGTCTCAAAGCCCTTTGCAGTAGTAAAGTGAATTAACTGTATATTTTGTGGGCGAAACGCAGCAGTCAATTGCGCACAGCAGCGTCCCACAAACAGTCGTGGATTGAGTGACCAAATCATTATTATTACTTTTTTGAAGGAATTATTATCCTCGAAAGGTGATCCGCCAATCGACTAACAACCGGATTCCTAGTTACTGTTGGGTAAACAGAGACGTGTGGAGGAAGGAAAATTGCCCAACATTTTGCCCAGCTGGGTATCGTACACAGGTCTTTCTCTTGCGAGGCTAATGCTCTAACCACTGAGTTACAGGACTCCATAAGAAGGGATAGATGGTTGGTGCAAGGCAATGGGAACTTGGGAGACAGCCCACAACATGCTCATGATCATGCTCGGCAGCTGAGTGCTGGACGTGGGACTGGAAGGCGTTACATTCTACTCACTCTTGGCTCTCATCCTTACAGAATACCCACTACAGCATCAAGCGGCTTCTTACATAAGTACAAGCGCTCCCAGACACTGCCCCCTGAGGAGGGCACTATATAAACTCAAGTTGCTGATGATGATGCTGGTCTCTACTTCCTGGTAAACAATCCCCGCTGTTAATTACAATCAGTGTAAAAGAATAATAATAATAATAATCCTTGCGTTTTGATATAGCGCTTTTCACGTCCGGAGGACGTCCCAAAGCGCTTCACAGAACACACTGTAAAGTGAATTGACTGTATATTTGTGGGCGAACGCGGCAGCCAATTGCGCACAGCAATGTCCCACAAACAGTCGTAGATTGAAAATGATCAATTTATTATTGTTTTTGGTTTTGGAGGGATTATTATTAGGCTCTGTGTGGAGTAAGGAAACTTGCCCGAGGTTTCGCCCTCTGCCTGGAATTGAACTCAGGTCTCTCACTTGCAAAGCGAGTGCTCTAACCACTGAGCTACAGGACTCCACAAGTCTTCCTGGTGTCTGTCCTGAATTTACCCTCAGCCTCCCTGAACCTGTGCCCTCTTCTCTTGCCCTACTGGCCCGACAGACAGTGTTGTTCTGAATTCTCTTTGTTCAATCCCATTGAGCATTTTGTAAGATCCCATTAGGAAATGCAATCCCTGGATGTTATTTCATTCTAAAGCACTCTTGTGTGTGTGTGTGTGTGTGTGTGTGTGTGCGTGCGCACATGTGTGTGTGTGTGTTTGTGCGCACGTGTGTTCCTCTCCAATGTTGTCTTGACATTTATGATGCCGTTGATTTTCACGTTATATATAAAACAAGCAAACTTTCTACATCAGTGGCTCCAAAACCAAATAGATTTTGATTGCAGCTTTCCTAAGAGCCATTTACGTGGCAAGCCGTGCTCACTGAGCTTTGTTTTATTTGGGGGGGGGGAGCGGAGACTGCTTTCAGAACGAAGTTTCATTACTGAACGGAACATGATGGGAATGCACAAGACACTGCTCGGTATCTGAAAGAAAAAGGTAGGTTAAGGTTTAGAGGGAGATCCTTTGTCAGAACAAGCAGCGTCTCTCAACCGTCTTTTCTCTCCCCTTTCAGACACCGGGCAGGCAACCTACATGGTATTATCAATGCTGATTTAGATTTGCAAACAATTGCAGTTCCTTATGCGGAAAACGGCATGTTACTGATTCGCAAGCAGCTGTCGATACAAAGCCCGGAAATATAAACTAAATAAATAAAAATAATAATAATTTGTTCACTCAATGCACAACTGATTGTGGGACGCTGCTGTGTGCAATTGGCTGCCACATTTCGCCCACAAAATACAGTCACTACACTTTACAATATATTCTGTGAAGCGCTTTGAGTTGTCTTGAAGACATGAAAAGGCGCTGTATCAAATGCAAGGATTATTATTGTTATTATATTACAACTTTGCGACGGAACCAGTTAGCCATTCGAGAGGGATTTCAGAACTGTCTCTGTAATGAGTCGACAAAAGATGACTTGCAGCACGGGAGCACTAATTTTGCAATTTAAGATAGTGTTTTTGGTACATCAGGCGTGAAGATCTTTTATTTCAATTATCCTGATGAATTATTGAGCATTGCTTAATTAATATAATTCACTAAATTACCTGAATCATACTAACGCTATCCTATTTACATATACAGTGAACAAATGCGGCTTTAATCTTTGATGGCGACGGTAATACAAGCTGTCTTTGTAAATCAATATAAATTCAGCAAAGTGACAGATCATAATCTGCAAGACACTTTAGGATATTACATGTCAACTGGGGGTTTTACCATACGAGACAGCAGGCACATTATTGCAATGGCAGAAAAACTTGTGTATGCATAAACATGCTACACCATGAAGCTGACAGTATGTGAGTGTTTCCGAGCCAATAAAAAACACATAAGCTTCAGCAATGCCATCAGAAAGTGGGTGCCCGTAAATTACCCCAGTGGTGTGGGATTGCAGCACAACAAAAAGTCACTGTTGTGTTTATAATAATAATCCTTGCATTTGATATAGCGCCTTATCACGTCTTCGAGATGTCTCAAAGCTCTTCCCAGAATATACTGTTCAGTGAATTGAACTATAATTTTTGGGGCGAAATGCAGCAGCCAATTGTGCACAGCAGTGTCCCACAAATAGTCGTGGATTGAGTGACCAAATTATTATTATTGTTATTTATTTTTTGAAGGGATTATTACCCCCTGAAAAGCGAACCATCAATCGACTCACAACCGGGTTCTTGCTTCCTGCTAGGTAAACCGAGGCGCGTGCAGTAAGGGAACTTGCCCAAGGTTTCGCCCTGCCCGGGAATCAAACCCAGGTTCTCCAGCTTGTGAGGTGAGTGCTCTAACCACTGAGCTAAGGGACACAGTTGTTTAGTTACAGGAATCGAAGGTTATTAAACAGACGGCACTTTTCATATTGCTAAAAAGGTGACGGATATTTTGTGTTGAAATCATAAAATGTCTCAAGCAGCTTTGCTGTAATTATTATCATGTGGTGACTGTTTTCTGAGCTAACGTGGTGCCCATTTTGTATTCAGAAAAGTTCTGTATTCAGGACTGAGGTGAACAAGCAACGGATTTTGGAGGATTTATTTGGTTGGCCATGACACCGGGAGAAACTCCCTTCTCCTTTCTAATAGTGTAAAAACGACTTTAAGCATCAATCTGAACGGGCACCTTGGTTAAACATCTCATCCGAAGGACAGGGTCTCTGACAATTCAGACCCCACCCCTGGTCTTGAAACAACAATTAACATTTATATGGCGTCTTTCATGTCGGGAGGACGTCTCAAATGGCTTCACACAGCTGACTGCGAGCTCGAGTGTCAGTCTTAGACAATGAGCTTCAGTTCCAACGTGGGGCTTGAACCCACAACCTTCTGACCCAGTGGTGAGAGTGCTCCCAGCTGAGCCAGACTAAAGCCTAATCATTGTCGAAACAATCTGTGCAGATGAAACAACAATAACAAAATTACATTTGGATAGTGCCTTTCATGTCGGGAGGACGCCCCAAGGCGCTGGACAATCAATGTTTCTGTGCAGATATCAGAGAGAATCTTTCTCCTCCGTAACATAAAATTAGATTTAAATGGCTGTGTTTGCGTGTTGTTTGCATTTACAGAAGTTAGGGTCAGTGCCTATAAAACCTTGCCCTGCTCTTTCAGCACACAGTTCACACCTCTCTCTCTCTCTCTCTTTGATGTGAAAAGACAAGAGGTTAAGGCTCTTAACAAACCTGAACCAAATTGAAATAAAATTCAGAAAACCTTTTGGAAGAGCAACCCATCAATTCTAATTTTTAAACTTTCACTTTCAGTCAACACCAGAAAAAGCTCCATTGGAACTTTTATCTTGGCAGCAAAGTGCTGTTATCTGGCTGGTGTCAGGAGCTCTATCTCTCTTTTAGCTGACAACACAGACCATTCAGGTAAAATTGGAAAAGAATCCTAGTTCAGCGAGTAAATAAATAATCAATACTCATCTAAATGTAAATGAATCGCTCGCCCCCTCTGATAACAGGGTGCTTATCAAAGATCCAATTTTCTCAAGACACTTGGATGCAACCAAATTACCATCATCCAGTCTTAAACTAATGGATAAAATTCCTAACTAAACTGAGCCGATCACCAGAGATCAACCAACTTTTGGCCACTTCACATTTCACTAGGTCGGTCATCACTCACTTTGCAATGCTTTTTGGTCAGATTCTTCCTGCATCTGAACCCATTTAAACCAGCCCAACCCCCACTCCCCTTCCTCCCCCACCCCCCACTCCTTCTCCCCCTCCTCCCCCACTCTCTCCCCCCTCATCTTGCGAAGGCATCAACTAAAAACAATACTTGTCAGGCTGTAACAAGTGAAGTTGCGATTACCCTGATGAAAAAAATACACTGGCCAAATTCAAACTCAGTGTGGTCGATAGTAAATAAAAAACAGAGAGAAAAATAGGTTAGAAACTGGCGATTTTGCACCATTTTGTGTGGCTTGTGTGCTGGGAGCAGCAGATATAAACTGACACACATTTCAACATACCCGGACGTAGCACGTGAACAGCAGTTTTGTATTGTGTGTAACCGGCCTCTGGGGGCAAACCTGAATGTAAAATAATCAGTTTGCCCAACGGCAAACTCCCCCCAAACCCCTGTGTGGATTTTT